ACAGTAGGTGCTGGAATAATGGTTGTTCCTGTTTCCACCTCAAAACGGCTGAAAAATTGATTTAACTGCTCAGCCAAAAAATCACTGCTGCTACACAGACTGTTTTTGTTACTCTGACCAGTGATTTGTCGTAGGCCGTGCCACACTCGGCGAGTGTCAGAACTTTCAAGGTGTTGTTCAATTCTCTGGCTGTACATAGCTTTGGCATCCCTAATGCCCCTTTTCAGTTTAGCTCTGGCCTCTCTATACTGTAGTTCATCACCAGAATGAAAAGCAGCATTTCTGGCTTTTAATAAAAGGCGCACTTCTCTATTTAGCCAAGGCTTGTTGTTAGAAAACACTCGTACTTGTCTTGTTGTAGCAATAACATCGATGCAGCTTTTGATATTAAACAGTACTGTCGAGGCATAAGTATCAACATTGTCCTCCTCAAACAGTGTCCAATCAGTGCTCCTAAAGCAATCTTGAAGTTGCTCAGTTGCATCCACTGGCCACACTTGTATTTCTCTAATTGATGGTCTGATTCTTTTAACAAGGGGTCTGTACGATGGAATCAAAAAAAGAGATATATGATCTGACTGTCCCAAGCTAGGCAATGGCTTCGTCTTATATCCATGCATGATGTTACAATATACCTGATCCAAGGTATTTTCCCCTCTAGTGGGACAACCAATTACAATAAGCTTAAGGATATACTAAGTAAAATCCCATAGAAATACTAGAACAGAAGGGAGATCATGATGAATGTCTTAAAGGTAAGATACTGAAGGCAGAACCACAAACAAGAAAGGAAAATGGGTGGCAGAAATCAGATTGGTTGCATTAGGAGATTTACAAAGAATTATGGAAGGGGCAAGTCACAATGGGTACAAACCAGGAGCTGATATTTGGAGGGAGATCAGGAAAAAAAATGAGTACAGCAGTAGGGTCAGTAGCTGATAGCTCCATGGTACAATTCTATGAAGAAATTATATAATTATCAGTAATTCAACATGTATCCAGACATTGTGCTAGAAACTATGGCAGGAATATGCAATCCAATCCCCTCACATGTCTTTTAATGTTACAGTATCTTCCTTGGTTAATATATCAGTTTAAAAATCATTAAATAATCATAAATCATGCATTTCCCCCACTCAGTAATAGTGGGAATATTTTGTTACCTCTACTGTTTAATATATTGGCTAAAATCCTATTGCTTAGAGCAGAGGTCCCCAACCCCCAGTCTACGACCCAGTGCCGGTCCGTGGCCTGAGCCAGACCAGGCCACGGAGACAGACCTTCCGCCCCACCCCCACACGCACTCACACCCCACACAGCTGATCCGTGCGTGCTTGGCCATGTGAGCACTGTGCCACCGTTTGTGCATGCGTGCAAGCGCACCCAGACAAGTGCCACACTGCCATTTGCGCATGAGTGCACATGTGTCTGCACAAGTGCTACGCTGTCATGTGCATGAGAACCATGCCACTGTTTGCACAGGCGCATGAGCACACGCTCGTTTGTGCAAAAGAGTGTGCACTTGTTCGCCCGGCCTTCCCCAGTCAGTCAGCGGGGTGAAAAAGGTTGGGGACCCCTGGCTTAGAGGACAAATCACATTAGAATAGACACACTGAATTGGTGGTAATTTGGTGAGTCAACTCCTCCGTAAGTGCATTTTATTCAAATAGGCATAGTGTAGTTGCAACTTACTGTAGTAAAGTATGTTGTGATTAGATTATGCCTAGAGATGGGCCTGAATTAATTCGGGCCTCTTTGCACAGCCTACTACTCTGCTTAGGAGGTGGGATGGGGATTCTCCCTGTGCAGCAGATGACTGGTCAGCTGCCGGAGGAGGTGGGAATGGGCAGTCTGAGGTCCTGCCTGGATTGGAGCACCACCAGAGAAGAAAGACCCTAGCAGCACATAACAAAATGTGAGTGAGTCAGATAGGCTGAGATGTGGGGAGAGGATGTTTACTTCATACAAATAGGTCTCTAGTTTACTTCATACAAATAGGTCTCTAGGCCTATTTGAATCGATGGCACTTCTGGAGAAGCTAACTCACCAAATCCTCACTGAATCAATGGGTCTATTGGGTTGCAATTTATAGTGCCAAGCAACAGGATTCCAGCCATTATTTCCTTGTTGTCTTCTCTGTGAAACCTGGCCAGAATCCTATTGGTTAGCAATGCCAGTGTAAGTCTAATGCCATAAACTGCAGCAGTAAATTGCTGCTAGTCAACCTGTCTTCATTTATAACTCTCATTGCTTACCAGCCAAGGTGGTGCATTACAGGATACAAGTGGCAACTCCCATCACCATGGTCCACTAAATTTTCATTTTCAGCAATTATTTCAGCCCCATAATGTATTGTAAAGTAACTTGATTCAACATTTTCAGTAGAGGCATCGAGAGACTTTACAGGCAAGGTGAGATGAGTAATGAGGCATGTGGTAGATGAACCTGCTTGTGACACCTCAGTGATTCTAACATCATCACATTTTGATTCTGAAGTGATCAAAGTGGTATTTACTGTATTTGTGTCCAGTTCTGATGATGGAGATTGGTTTTGACCCAGAATAGGTATATCATGTTGTGGAAATTGTGTGAAGAAATCAGACACCTTTGCAGTCTTGAACTCTAAACCTAAAGTCTTCCCTTGTTTCTATGTTTGATAGTTTTCGCTTTTGTGCCCCACTTAACTGAACCCGTTTCATCCTGGTTCTTGGGGTCTGTGGGGTTTGTCATGTAAATTGATAGACATAATTGAAATACATATTCAGTTATCACCATGATTCCACCATCATGCAATAAATAAAAATTAGGAATGCATGCATAGTCAAAATCAACACCATTTGGTCATTTTCATTAGTTTCATGACATTTCATAAGCACTTCCACAAAATAATGAAACATTAATTACATTATTTGTTGTCAGTGTTATTTAAAAAAGGAATCAGTTTACTTACAAAGTGTCAGAGTCTGGAAGCTACTACGTGGCCTTTTGCCACCTGGCAAGGGCATCAGGGCCCAATCCACCACACAGAGTAACAGAGCTGGAACAATAGGCTGGCAGGCAAGGCAGGAACACCAGGGCAGGAAGCAGGAACAAGCCAATGCTGGAGCAAGGCTGCACACGCAGGCAAGAGCACAAGACACTTGCGTTGCTGAGGCAAAGTCTGGGAGGGAGACCCACTCCTTAAATAGGCCTTCCCTCCAAGCTTCCAGGTGGGCCCCTCATGAGTGGCCTAGTAGCTGCTGCTCAGGACAAGGCCTGAGCCTGCAAACACCAGGCAATTCCTGGGTCAGGCTGGCCCTGATCCAGCAGTTACCTTACCAGGGCCATGTAGGCCAGACCCTGACACAAAGTTACAATGTTAGCATGTGTGTTGTTGCCTGTTGGCACGCTGGACGCTGAGGGGGCTATTAGTGCCCCTGCACAGTTTCATTCTCAGTGGACAACTGAACGGGACAGCCAACATGAACAAGACTTAGAAGTTAGACAAGAATGATCACATGAGCCTCCGTGGACCATGGGACAGTTAAACTTACCAGATTCTAATTTTCTTGTATTCCCAAGATTAATGTATATAATTAATTACAATTATTACTAATTTTTACTTCTGTCAAGGAGCTTATGTTTTTTGTCGGAGTATGTGTATGTGTGTTTGTTTTTCTACTGACGTTGTACAGATTGTATACAAATTTCACAGACTGCATACAAAATTTCCCCTGCTTTCATTTATGGGGGGCAGATTTCCCCCCCTTCGATTTCATAACCCTTGGTGGAGGTCTATACTCTCTTGAGTGCTCTTGTTATTATTGTATATATATGTATGTAATTTTTTCATGGCTGCACCATTTGCAGTATTGCACCATATGGCCCATGGTAAATTCGGATATGGAAAATTTCTGTGGTGCCCCCTCTTCCTTTGATGCCTCTAAGCATGTGCTTATTGTGCTTAGTGGTTAATCCACCCCTGCTCAGATCTGAATTTCTATCTAAGCTCTTTCTGTAACTCAACTAAAAACTGAACTGAGCAGCCCTCTATCTCTCACACACTCCTTCAATATACAGTGGTGCCTCGCATAACGTTTGCTTCGTTTAACGTTTTTTTGCTTAACGTTTATTTTTTCAGAGGCAGATTGTGCTTCGTATAACGTTTTTCCCTATGGGCGATTTTCGCATAGCGTTTTTGGGACCATGCTTCGCTTAACGTTTTTTGTTTTAGGTCCCCTGCTTCACTTAACGATGTTTTTGTTTCCAATTTAAAAAGTGTCTTAGAAGGGTCCAAAACGGTTCTAAATGCTTGGATTCGTTAGAGGACCCCTTAAGTCATGTGCAAACCTGATTTGGCTTTGATCTGAACTTTCGTTAATTTTTTGTAAATTGTTTTCTCCCCCATAGGAAAGCATGGAGCTGTCAGATTTTGACAGGTCCATTGGTTCCTATGGGCCAAAAAACAAAAATTCACAAAAAATTAACGAAACGTCAGATCAAAGCCAAATCAGGTTTGCACATGACTTAAGGGGTCCTCTAACGAATCCAAGCATTTAGAACCGTTTTGGACCCTTCTAAGACACTTTTTAAATTGAAAACAAAAAAAACGTTAAGCGAAGCAGGGGACCTAAAACCAAAAACGTTAAGCGAAGCATGGTCCCAAAAACGCTATGCGAAAATCGCCCATAGGGAAAAACGTTATACGAAGCACAATCTGCCTCTGAAAAAATAAACGTTAAGCGAAAAAAACGTTAAACGAAGCAAACGTTAAGCGAGGCACCACTGTA